AAAAAACAAGCAAGTTTACATTTTTGGTGCTTTGTTTTCAAACTGCTACCAGTGTTTTTAAACCACTGATCATAACAAAGGGCTTTCAGAATCTAAGTATCAAAGGTACTAGCATTTAGAGTTTATTAGACACATACAATTACATTCATTGAAGTTATGAGTGAGCTACAAAATGGAAAATTAATAACTCACATTGATAAAAACCTCAAACACATCTCAATAAATTCAAGCTTTTTAGCTTAACATCTACGTCTTTTATCAATTTTTGAAATGCAGAAGGACCCATTAAACACGGAATAAAATTCAAAGGTCTATACTAATTGCAGATAACTTTTATAGTCCATGGCATGATTTACATTATCACCTTCCACAACGCTTACATGACTTCACAGTTATAAGCTATTAACAACAAAGCAGAACACTTCTTCAAATTAAGGTACCTTTTGCTGTACGTAGCAAAGACTGCCTTCCTGCACCAAGCAAAGAAGTGACTCTTGAAATACTGGGTGGAATTTCTTTATCCAACATAGGACCGATGCGCTGGCAGATTTGCAACAGGTGATCAGGAGCCACATGCTTATTGGACAAGACCTGGTTGGAGAGTTAAGTCTTAATAACAACATTGCTTACAGTGGTACTGAAACATTTAATTGCTTAGGGATAGTCTAAAGTGTAAATCACATTGAAAACTACAAAGCACAGTAAGATAAATGAAAGGCTACAGTAAATAGTCTATAGTTTCAAACTCACTCCAATCAAAATGTGTATGCAAATGACACAGAAAGCCAAAGAATTTTGAAAAAGAAAACGTTACAAGTCTACTTCAAGACTTATAGAAGCCGGGCATGGTGGTGCACGCCTTTAGTCCCAGCACTTGCAAGGCAGAGGCAGAGGCAGGTGGATCTCTGTGAGTTCAAGGCCAGCTTGGTCTACATAGTGAGTTCCAGGACAGCTGGGGCTACAAGGAGACCCTGTCTCAAAAAGACCGCCCCCCCCCAAAAAAAAGAGAGAAATGTCTTTGATCCCACATAAGGTTTCAGAATCAGAGATCCTTCTGTCTCTGCCACCCCTGTGCTGAGGTTAAGAGCATGGGCCACCATCCATATGGTAAACACTGATTTTTGACAAAGGTGCAAATGCGATTAAGTAGGAAAAAAAGACAGTGATTCCAACAAACATTGCTGGAAAGACTAGACAAGCCATTTACCAAAAATAATTGATTTTTCATTTACATTATTTTTTAATTTACTGTGTGCTTTGTGGGCACAGGTATACCCGAGTCATCTTGTCAGCCCCCCAAACTATCCAATTTTAAATACTTTCTAGCATCAACAAAAATTATCTCAACAGAGATCATATGCAATTTAAAAGTGAAAACCTATTTGAACTTTATAAAGGGAGGCTATGATCTAGATACACTGTACACACTGTATGAAGTTATCAAAGAAAAATTACAAAAACATACTTCATCTTTATGGTCTGAGGTCAAATATTTCTAATCTGACACCAAAAGCACCACCTACAGAACAAGCTGATAAAACTGGACTCCATCAAACCACTTTTTCCTCAAAAGGCACTGCAACAAAAAATCAAAAGATAAACTGAGAGAAACATTGCAAAGCACCTATCTGATAAAACTTGCATCCAGGGACTGGAGAGATGGCTCAGCGGTTAAGAACACTGGCTGTTGTTGCAGAAGACCCAGGTTTGAATCCCAGCACCCACATGGCAGCTAACGACTGTCCATAATTCCAGTCCTAGGGAATCCGACAGCCTCTTCTGACCTCCGTGGGCAATGAACGACACGGGTACACTTATCTATATGCAGGCAATACACGCATACACCATACACATAAAATAAAAATAACGCCAGGCGTGGTGGCACATGCCTTTAATCCCAGCACTTGGGAGGCAGAGGCAGGCGGATCTTTGTGAGTTCGAGGCCAGGCTGGTCTACATAGTGAGTTCCAGGACAGCAGGGCTACAGGGAGACCCTGTCTCAAAAAGACAAAAAAAAATAAAAATAAAAAAAAACAATAATAATAATATTGCATCCAGACTTATAGATGAGGAAAATTTCAAAGGTCAGGGTTTTCAGCCATAGTCAAATACCACCATATTCACACCGTATCTGAAACCAAAAACAATCCCACCTTTCGGTTGAGCAGATTTGAAGAGCCATCAGCAGAGGCAGTGCAGATGGCAGGTGAGCAGGTGAGGACACGAACAGTACAAGCTGTGAGAGCCTGACCCAAACCCCAGCCAGCCACAGCCACCACCAACCAGAACAGCTGCCATCAGACTAACCCGATCAAACCTGGCAAATGGATGCTAGCCAGACATGGCAGCACACACCTGCAACCCCAGCACTTGGGCAGTGCAGTCATAAGTTCAATGCCAGTCTTAGCTACAAAGTAAGTTCAAGGCCAGTTTGAACTGCATGAAACCCCCATCTCAAAGAAGCAAAACCAAAACAAGAACTCTGATAGGCCTATAAAGAACTACAGCTTTTGAAAACAGTTCAGCTGCTTCTTAAAATACGTAGTAGCCACCCTGCTCCCAGGTCCTGAATAGCATTTACAAGTGCATACTCATAAAAACATTCCTACATGAATGTTCTTAGGAGATTCCTTTTATTTTTATTATTTTTATTTTATGTATATGCATGTATTGCCTGCATGTAGATAAGTGTACCCGTGTCATGCAATGGCCACTGAGGTCAGAAGAGGCTGTCAGATCCCCTGGGACTGGAATTATGGACAGGAGTCAGCTGCCACGTGGGTGCTGGGATTCGAACCTGGGTCTTCTGCAAGAACAACCAGTATTCTTAACCACTGAATCATCTCTCCAGCCCCAGGAGATTCTTTTCAATGAAGATAAAACCCAAATGTCTACCAACAGTGAGTGAATAAACATACTACACAAAGTTTAGCAAAAGCAAGCAGTAAGCTAAGCGCAGCGGCTCACACCTATAGTCACAGCACTACCAACGTTACATGTGGGACTGTCTCAAAAAAAAAAAAAAAGGGAAAAGGGAAAGGACGGCCACACATGCACACATGGGCAGACTTAGACTCAGTGGGTCATGGGCCTTTTTCTTTTTTTGAAAAAAAAAAAAAAAGCAAACTTTTTCAGCAACATAACCTAGCAGCCAACACCAAGATGAAGATCCATTAAGACCCTGACTGGCAAGACCCATCACCGTCAAGGGACACCATCAAGAATGTGGAGGCCAAGATCCAAGAAAGGAAAGCATCCCCACCTGAACATGAGCAGCTGGCATTTGCTAGCAATCGCCACGTTCTGTCCGACTACAACCAACAGAAAGTGGCTGGCCTGGCCCTGGTGCTGTGCCTGCAGTTTAAGGGGGCCAAATCAACACCCTGCACGCCCAGGTCAAGTAAAGTTGAGGGCAGCTCTTGACCCCAAGACCCTAACAAAGTGCCCCTTCCTGTTGACTAGAGCAGTCAAAGACCAAGGTGGGAAGAGGGGTGTTGGAGAACTCCCGGGAGTTAGGGGTCAATATGGTCACTATATACATATGTGAAACTCTCAAAGAACCAAAACATTCTTAGTATTAGTAACATACGACATGGATGAATCATGCTCAGAGAAGCCAGAGGTAGTACCTAGCATACAGTACACTTATTCTGGAAACTGGTGTTTACTGCTGAGAGTACAGCAGGAGAGCATGGAGGAAGCAAGGGACAGACATCACTGCTGGTGATGTCAACTTTTTTATTTTAAGTGTATGGTGTTGTGCCTGCATGTATGTAAGTGCACCCGTGTAGTGCAGTGTTCACAGAGGGCAGAAGGTGTCAGACACCCTGAAACTAGAGATAGTTGTTAGTCACCATGTGTGCTAACACTGACCTTGGTTCTCTGCGAGAGCAGCCAGTGCTCTTAAGCACTGAGCCATCTCTCTAGTCCCTGAAACCCATTGGGTTTTTTTGTTTTGTTTTTTTTTTTTTGGTCTTTTTGAGATTGAACTCAGCGATCCCTGTGCCTCTGCCTCCCGAGACTGGGACCAAAGGCCTGGGCCGCGACACCAGGCTCCAGATGCCAATTTTTATCAAATTGAGTATTTAAGTAGATTTACTTGTCTATTAATTATACCTTAATAAAGCACAGAGACAATAGTCTTGGAGGAGTTACAGGTTTGTAACTTCCGGTTAGAGATTGTATAGGGTTGGTTGGTTTTGAAGGTTGAGCAGTGTTTCTTGTCTTATGGTTCTGGGGCTGTAACCTGGTGCTTCATGACAGGCAAGCACTCTACCACACTCCATCATCAGCCCTACACAACCCTTTTTCTGCTTCTGAGACAAAGTCTTGCTACATATGGAAACCAGGTTGGCCTCAACTCAAAGTCCTCCTGCCTCAGCTTCCTGAGTGATGGGACTGCAGGCATGTCCACCATGTCCACATTTGCTAAGGTGCTATTTTGTACATAGCTAATAAAGTCCTCCAATTAAGCAGTTGAAGAAAAGGTAAGAATTGTTCCCATTCATCCCATAGGCACTCACTACCACAAAGTACTCTAGCTGGTTTTCAAGTGAAGGCCACATCTGAGAGAGATTTTAATATTAGGTTGGTGCAAAAGTAATGGCAGACTTTGCATTGTTGAAGTTTATTGTATGATACTGGAATACATCATTTTAATGGCACTTCATGCTTTGTGTTTTTTGCTGATGACTTATTACTGTTTTATATTTGTTTTACACATGGAAATGTTTGTTAGACAAAAACCAAATTCATGCAATTTTCTTATCTGAGTTAAAATGGGTCAAAATGCAAAGATAACTCAACATCAAGGCATCTGGCCTAAGAACTAAAGGAATCCGGCACAGTGCAGTATTGGTTCAAGAAGTTTTACAGAGGAGGTGGAAGCTTTGAGGATGGGGAGCAATGTTACAACCATCAGTCACTAAAGCCACTTCTCTTACAACTACACAAGTTGCCAGAACACAATGTGCACTATGCAATGGCCATTCTGCAACTAAAGCAAGTTGGAAAAAATTTAAAAAGAATTTTAAAAAATTAAAAAATCAGGGCTGGAGAGATGGCTCAGCAGTTAAGAGCACTGGCTGCTCTTGCAGAGGACCTGGGTTCCATTCCCAGCACCCACATGGCAGCTAACTGTTCCTAACTCCAGTTCCAGGGTATCCAACATTCTCTTCTGGTCTCCATAGGCACTGCACACACAGGTACACTTAGATACAGGCAAAACACTCATACACACAAAATGATTTTTTTTTTTTTTTTTTTTTTTGGTCTTTTTGAGACAGGGTCTTCCTATAGTCCCAGCTGGCCTGGAAATCTCTATCTAGACTAGGCTGCCCTTGAACTCAGAGATCCAACTGCCTCTGCCACCCGAGTGCTGGGATTAAAGAAATGCACCACCATGCTTGGCTTAAAAATTCATTTTTTAAAAAGAAAATGACTGACCTGGTAAGAAATCAGTGTGTTACATATTATTATAATCAAGAATATAAACTGGGGGCCAGTGAAATGGCTGTGGGTAAAGGCCTTAGTGCTAAGTCTGACAATTCCCAGAACCCACCACGGGAGGAAAATCAAGTCTCAAAAGTCACCCTCTGATCTCGTGTTGCCACAGCACACACATGCCTTCAAGGGTGGGGACACAGACACACGGACACACACACACACACACACACACACACACACACACACGGACACGGACACGGACACACAGAGAGAGGATACACATAATGGAAAAATATTCCAGCAACTCAGGAATGGCTATACACAACTTCCTTAAAAGCAACCCAATGGGGAGCAGTAACAGATGCAGGACTCTATTAATCACTAACAGGTAGCTGATCTTCATTCCATTTGTCTGTTTAAAATTTCATTCACAGAAAATCCTAAAAACATCTCAAATAGAAACCAAAGTAAATACAGGAAACTAGAAAGTCCCAATCTTGTAATGATATAGAGGGGATAATTACTTTATACATGCTTAGGACACTTCTACATACTAAAGAAAAAAAGGAGACTTTGGAGATCTGTAAGTTAGACATTCTTTAAAAAAAAAAAAAAAGCCAGGTATGGCTTTTAGAGCCATCACTTGGGTGCAGAAGGGAGGAGGATCTCTGGAGAAGCCAACTGGGACTGCAGGAAAATCCTGTCTCAAAAAAATAAGAAAATAATGCTCTAAGGACAGCAAGAGGGCTTAATGGCTCGCCTCAGGAGCATGACAGTCGAAGTTCCATCCCCAAGATCCACATGGTGGAAAGAGAACCAGCTCTTCAAGGCTGTCCTCTGACCTCCCCTCATGTCCCCGTCCACCCACAGTAATAAACATTTTAAGTGCTCTATTCTAAGTGGCTTATCTCAACACTGGAGCGGAAAGCTGAAGAAAACAGTGACAGGTGATGTCATAAGCTGCTCAGTCACGACAGGAAAGCAGCTTGTTTCTCTCTGAACTCTGGCACGGAAAAGTAGCATCAGTAATGGTAGCCCTCCATTTGTTCCATGTGATTTCTTTCCTGCAGCATGACTGCCCAGTCAGCATTTTGTGGCTTTCAAAAAGCCACAGGTAGAAATGTGGCTCAGAAGAACAGCCCTGCCTGGGGCTCTAACTCCGCCGTAGAACCCTTCCTAGGGGTAGTGGCTCACAATCTGCCCAGCTCTGGGATACTTCCGGAGAGGGTGTGAATCAGTGATAGAAGCCTGCCAAAGAGGTTCCAATTCAGGGGCTGAGCTTTTGCCTAGCACTAGAAGCCCAGCAGCTGCCTCCCCACCAAAGCCTTAAAGTACCAAACATTAGAAAACAAATTTGATCCATTATACGCCTTTTAGAACTCTCCTGAAAATATTCACTCTGGTGTTCACTTTAAAAGTTTTTATGACATCTATTAATTTGTGTGTACACCATGCACATATATGCAAGAGCTGGAGAGTAGAAGTCAGAGGCCAACTTGGGGGTCTGGGTCCCTGCAATTGAACTCATATATCAGAGCTGACAACAAGTGTTTTCACTTGCTGAGCCACCCCATCTGCCCCATGTATCTGCTTTTAAAAAATAACTCTGAAATGGCAAATTAGACAACAAAAATAAAAGTGTTCCACTCACCAGTCTCTAGGCTTTGAAAGCTAATGCTTGGCTGAGCAGTGTGGTTGTGGGCAGGCCCTTACAGCACTTGCCTAGCACTAGTGGGTGCTCTGGGTTAGGTTCAGGGTCCAGCACTGAAGACCAGGTGACTGTTCATACTGAACAATGAAACATGGCAAATCCCCTGGCTGGCTCTATTTTGCAATTACTGTAAAAACAGTCCAACACCATCTGCTTACAGGTCTTGGCACCATGGTGACAGGGACACCAAGCCTGGTGGCACACTCCTGTAATCCCAGCCCAGCACTGAGGGTGAAGCAGAATTGCAAAGTCAAGGCCACTCTGGCCTGTACATCCATCCAGGTTTCTTTTCAGTTGGCCGTATTCAACATGCTGAAACGGGGACTGGAAAATAAAGAACTCTGTCCTTATTTCAAAGACTGTCAAATTATTTTCCTGGAATTTTTTTTTATTCCACCTAGGATAAGCAAATCCGTTATTGCTGTTAACTGTGGATAAAGCCAAATTATACTTCACAAGCACAACTAAGCAAGTGTGTAGAGTATAAAGAAAAACCAAGAGAGGAGGGGGGCTGGAGAGATGACTGAGCAGTTAGAGCACTGGCTGCTCTTGCAGAGGGCCCAGGTTCAAATCCCAGCACCCACATGCTGGCTAACAACCATCTGCAACTCCAGTTCCAGCAGATCTGAAACCCTCTTCTGACCTCCCTAGGTATTGCAGGACACAGATGCACTCACATACGTGCAAGCACTACACTCACACATATAAAATGAAATTAATAGTTGTTAGGGTTCCAAACAGCAGCAGCTTCCCCCCCTCCCCAACAGGGACCTACAGACCTTGGAGCCCGAAAAAGGGAACTTAGCTGATAAGCACCTTGACCTTTGAAGTCAAGGGAAACAAACCCTACTGAGAAGCAGCCTGCCTTTCCTCTGACCTCCAAAGATAGGATAAGCAGATTCTACCTGATAACCAGAGATTTTAGAAGATGTTTTTCTCTCATCTTAAGAGGGAAAAAGTAAACACTTCCACACCCTAATCCTACCTGCTTCCCCCTCCCTGATTTCTCCCCCAAACAACCCCCCCTTCCCCACCCCAAAGGCCCCATATGTAAAAAGTCCCAGCTCATAGCCCCCGTGGGCTGACATCTTTCCCTTCCCCAAGGGAAAGGTGCCCCGTGCGAAATAAAGCTGTATCCCGCTGAGAATTCCATCTGTGCCTCGGTGCCTCCTCCATCGCACGTTCACCCTAAATAAACTGTAAAAAGTCAAGCTAGGGGCTGGAGAGATGGCTCAGCGGGAAAGAACACTGAATGTTCTTGTAGACGACCTGGGTTCAGATCCCAGCAGCCACATGGCAGCTAACAACTGTCCGTAACTCCAGTTCTAAGGGATCCGACGCCCTCTTCTGACCTCCGCGGGCACTGCACGACACGGGTGCACTTCCATACAATACACACATACATATAAAATATTTAAAAAAAAAAAAAAAAAAAGGAAAAGTCAAGCTAAAGCCTGCTCTGCTACGCAGGTGTTGAACCAATACCGGTCCGCTCCGGGCGGCCACGGCACCGGTAACACACCTTTACGCTGCGGCAGCGCTTCATGAGGCCGCTATGGAAAATGGGGGAGGAAAAAATGCCAATCCAGGACCTTCGTCCACCTTGGAGCCAGAGACCATTCCCGGGAACAAGTGGTCTGGAGACCTGGGCGGGGCAGGACGAGCGGGGACCAATGAGAGCGCGCGTTACAAGACACCACAAGGGCCGCGGCGGTGAGAGCGCCGCGTTGAGTGGCCGGCGGCTGCACCTGGAGCCACCACCACCCGCCCCGCCCCCCCCGCCCGCGAGCCCAGACCGCCGCCACCGCCCGCGCCGCTCCCAGGACGGTTTCCAGAAGAAATAAAGCCCCCGGCCGCCGCGGCTGCCCCGGCCGCCTAGGCCCCGCGGACAACCGGCGCGCGGAGGACGCGGACGGACGCTGCTCACCAATTCCTCGTAGCTCCTACTGTGCTCGTTGCCCTCCCAGTCCAGCCTCTTCGGCAACAGCTGGAAAGACAGACAGAAAGGGCCCGCGTGACCACCGCTCCCGGGCGGCCGGGCGGGCCCCGCGAGGACGGGACGGGACGGGGACGGGGACGGGGACGGCGGCACCGACCTGGTACTGCTCCAGCTCCTGCACCAGCACCTGCGGCAGAGACGCGCGTCAACACCCGCCCCGCGGCGGCGCCCACACCCGCCCCCCGCGCCCCGCACTCACCTGCGCCGCTCGGCGGCACGGGCCGGCCGAGAGGTAGCGGGCGATGAGGAAGTAGAGCTCTGCGGGAGGAAACGGGGGCGGTCAGCACCGGGCGGGTGGCGGGGACGGGTGGGGGGCGGCGCGCGTCTTACCCGACTCGATAAGCGGCACCGGACGGCGGGCGGGCGAGGGCTCGGCCATGGCGAGACGCGGGGCGGGAGCGGGTCAGCGGAGCGTGTAGGCCGCGCCGAGGCCTGACCAGACTGGCGTCCCCTCTCCTTAGGCGCGCGCCGCCGCCATGCCGTGCGCGCCGCCCGCGCCGACGCGTCCGCGGACGGAAGTAGCGCCGCGCGAAGGGGGAGGGGCGAAGTAGTCCGTCTGCCGGAGGTGGGGGGCGGGCGGGGCCCGGAGAGGAGTCCGGGCCCGGGAGGAGGTCCTCGCCGCACAGCCCCGGCGTCGGCCGCGGGAGGTGCAGGGCGGAGCGTGCCCGCTGGGCCTGCGTCGGGGCGGGGGCGCGGGAAGGGGCGGGGCGCGGGGGCCGAATCCCTGCGCGCGGTGAGGCGGCCGCCTGCCATTGTGCAGCGGCTGCGGCAGGGATGCCTGGGCCGGAGGGGCGGGGCCCGCGCTGACGGTCACCTGGACCCAGGCCTGTGCCTAGTGTGAAGGCGAGGCCTGCCTGACGGCGAGGCCTGAGGGACGTCGAGGCCCGTGGGACGTCGATGCCTGCGCGGGACCCAGAGGACTCGGGGACGTAGAGGCCTGAGGGACGTCGAGGCCCGTGGGACGTCGATCCCTGCGCGGGACCCAGAGGACTCGGGGACGTAGAGGCCCGTGGGGGACGTAGAGGCCTGAGGGACGTCGAGGTCTGTGGGACGACAAGGCCTACGCGGAACCCAGAGGACTCAGGGACGTAGAGGCCCGTGGGGGACGTAGAGGCCTGAGGGACGTCGAGGCCTGCGCGGAACCCAGACGACTCGGGGACGTCGAGGCCCGTGGGGGGTCCTCAAGGCCTCCAGACCCAGCCCCTGCGCGGCCCGCCTTGGGAGGGCACCGCCAGGACGCATCGGATTCAGAAGGCCCACGGGAAGGGCGGGGCCGCCGTGTGTCTTGCCTGTCAGATTTGAGGTTGACAAGGTGGATGAGGGCCAGAAAATTCCCTGAACGGCCACGCGGGCCTTCTGACCTAACTGGGTTCTTTCACCACGTCCGGTGGATGGAGGCGCCGTTGGGCGGCAGGCCCGCAGTCACTTCCGGGACCTTGGCCCCAGCTGCCCTGGGTAGACCTTGAGCCAGTCCACCGCTGTTGTCCTCACGGTTCCCACGGCGGCGTCGAGGACTGCGCCAGTGTGCGCCTGGAGCGGAGGAAAGCGCGGTCTCGCATCCAGTGGACTGGGATTCCCAGCCACACTCAGGTGTGCCACTACCTGCGCTAGTCACTGTCATTGAAGGTGCGTAGCTGGATCGCCTGGACCTTACAACTCCAGTATTCCTTCAGAACGGTGTGCTGGAGGCTGCCGGATCACAAGGGATCACATTTGCAAGTGACGAAGACTTGGTAGGGAGAGTGTCAGAGGGAAGCTTTAATTTGTATTAAAGCTTTAATTTGTTTTTGTGTCTGTGCAGTCCCACATGTGTGCAGGTACCTGCCACGGCCAGAAGAGGGGGTCGGATCCCTTGGAGTTAGAGCTACAGGTGACTGAGCCACCCAGTGTGGATGTTGGGAACTAAACTCTACAAGAGCAGCCAGTGCTCCTAACCAGGGAGCCTCAGCCCCTCCCACCCCTTTAATCTTTTAGATTGGCCATGGAATTTGTGCTTTGTTCGTTTTGTAGCCGTATCATAAAATAAAATGTATCCCACCCAGAGACACAAGAATCTATTTCCCAAAGTTTGGTGGTTGTCTGGAATTACAATTCTGGTCTGGGCAGATAGCATGGTAACCTTGACATGATCTCAAATGAGGACATGGGAGAAGAAAGCTAGGGTGTAGCTCTGTGGTAGAACACTTATGCACAAGGCCCTGGCCTTGATTGATGACCAGCACCTGTTGAAGAAGAGGGCAGGTGGGGAGAGGATGGGAATGGTAGTCTTGAGTTGCAGCAGCCTGGTATTTTATAATTGCAGTCGCAAATGCTTCTCCAAGATTTTGATGGAATTTTTACATGTATTTTGTGTATACACAAGCACACATGGGGATCAAAGAACATGTGAAAGATGACAACTTGGAGGAGTTAGGTCTCCCCTTGAACCTGTGGGTCCTGGGGATCGAACTCCGGTTGGGTCCATGGCAAGGACCTGTACGCCTTGCCGGCAGTGACTGCACATATTGCCAGCCCCCCAACCTTTTAAATATACTCAAAAAATTCTAATGAGCTGGGTGTGGTGGCGCACACCTTTAATCCCAGCACCTGGGAGGCAGAGGCAGGCAGATCTTTGTGAGTTCGAGGCCAGTCTGGTCTACATAGTGAGTTCCAGGGAGACCCTGTCTCAAAAAGGAAAAAAAAATAAAAAAATTTTTTAAAATTATAATGAGATGGAATATCATCCCCACTGCACTCCAGGGGATCAGATGATTGCCCACTGGGAAGAGGAAAGGGAAAGACCCTACCCTTTACCTTGGTAGTATCCTTTTCCTACCACCTGCCAGAAGTAGTCTCCAACAAGGCTAGAGTTGTGTGTGTCACAAAGTGAGCCCAACCCATACAAATGCCCAAGCTGAGGCTTTGGTGTAAGTGGAATCCCCCCAACTTGAGACTCTGTGAAGCAAGTTTGGAAGATGACAACGGCCAGTGAAGCTGTAACCTGTCAGCCATCTCCACTGTGAGGTACATCTTCCAGGAAGCCTGTTTTAGCCTTTGTGGAGCAATCCCTTTGTAGGTGAACAAGCTGAGCCTGAACAGCTGCACCAGGTACCATTAGTAACACCAACTTTCCAAAGAAGTCCAGAGGATGGACACAGCAGCAGCAGTGGCAGGCAGCCAGCCCAGCTGTGCCAGCTCCACCCGAGACTGAATCAGGCGCAGCAGAAGTCTCCCTTCACCATGTAGGGAAACGGGTCTGAACAGTAGATGATGCAAGATTGCTCAGCTGGTGCCTGAGTCGACGCTCTGAAAAGCCAGGTGATGAGTGTGACCTTGTTTTCAGTTTTCGCCGATGACCCTTGGACTCAGTTATTTCCATTCCAGAATGAGGAAACCCAGGTGTAGGAAGTTTAAGAATTCCCTAAAGGGGCTAGAGAGATGGCTCAGCAGTTAAAAGCACTGGCTGCTCTCCCAGAAGACCCAGGTTCAGCTCCCAGCACCCACATGGTGGCTAATAACCATCTGTTATCCAGCTCCAGGGGATCTAACACACTTTTCTGGCCCATATGGATGTTCCACTACATGAGAGCATTTACATACATGCAGGCAAAACGCTCATACACATAAAAATAAATTTTAAAAATTTCCCTAAGGGTGGGAAGCCTTTTTTAAATTAAAAAATCTGCCAAGCGTGGTGGTACACGCCTTTAGTCTCAGCACTCAGGAGGAGACAGAGGCAGGCGGATCTCTCAAGTTCAAGGCCAGTTGGGGCTACAAGGAGACACTATCTCAAAAAGATCAAAAAAAAAAAGTCTGTGGGAGGGCCTAGCATGCACAGGCCCTGGCTTGGATCCCCAGCACCTCATAAAGACAGGCACAGCCATGCATTCCTCTAATTCCAGCATTCAGGAGGTGGAAGCCAGAGAATCCAAAGTCATCCTTGGCTACAGAATGGGGGATAAATAAGATCTCTTAAAAAAATCAGTGTGATCACAGAAACTGCACACAAGAGGGTGCTCAGAAAATGAGTGGGAGTGTTTTGAGTGGTAGAGCAGTTGTCTAGCGTGTGTGATGTGAGCCCTGGATTCAATCCCCAGATGTTTAAAAAAAGTTCCAGGAGTTAACAAGATGGCCCAATGGGTAAAAGTGCTTGCCTAAGTTCAACTCCTGGGTCTAGATCCCACAGTGGAAGGAGAGAACTGACTCCCTAAAGTTGTCCTCTGACCTACACACACACACACACACACACACAATGGCATGAGCACACCCGTGTACAGATACATTGATAATTGACTTTTAAAAAATATATTTTTATTTTATGTGTACACGTGTATTGCCTGCATGTAGGTAAGTGCACCCATGTCGTGCAATGCCCTCGGGGAACAGAAGAGACAGATCCCCTGGAACTGGAGTTACGGACAGTTGTTAGCTGCCATGTGGGTGCTGGGATTTAAACCTGGGTCTTCTGCAAGAACTGTCAGTGTTCTTAACTGCTGAGCCATCTCTCCAGCCCCGATAATTGACTTTTTAAAAGTTCCAGGCCAACCTGGAGCAAGACTCTTAAACCACAAAGGAGTAGATTAAATCAATTTTGAAAGACAGAAAAGTGAGATCAGGAAATCTGTAACCAGTAGAGATTTAGAGAGAAAATTAGGTACATAATAGATTAACAAAAACTGATGTTGACTAAATTCGGGTTCTCTGGTCAGGCACTGAAGACCCACTCATAGACTGGGTGGTGTTCTGAGGGCTTGTGAGGCCAGTGGTACAGGATCCACAGAACAGCAGTACACAAAACCCAGTCAGCGCCTGGGAGGAGAACCATGTGCACACAAAAACTTGGACTGCTGATTCAACAGCAGTGGGTTTTTTTAAAGATTTATTTTTTATGTGTATGAGTGTTTTGCCTGCGTGATGTGTACCACATGCATGTAGTGCCGGCAGAGTCCAATAGAAGGTGTCAAACCTCTGGAGCAAAAGGTACGGATGGTTGTGAGCCACTCTGTCGGTTCTGGGAACCAAGCCTGGTTTCTCTGCAACAAGCACCGTTTTGAGGGCCCTCTCCAAAGCAGGCATCCTGTGCAATGCAGGCTTCATGTGGTGGATAAAGCCCTACAAATAGGAGAGTCTGGGTCTTGATGAGTAGAGCATTTGAAACAATGGCCAAATCTGAGCTCTTGGTGGGCCCTTGGCTACTTCCAGGCTTGCAGCTACTTCCTGGGCTCCCTCCTGTACCACCCTCCTGGGGGTGTCATCTTTCCCCAGGACCTTTTCTCCCCTCCAGGTCTCCCCAGCCAGCTATCTCCTTCGGGCTGCTTTCCCCTGCCTCCCTCAGCAAATTGTTTCCACATTTAATTTCCTCCCTCTCCAACGTGTGCCTCTCCCTAGTCCCTGGCTTCTCTCCCTATTTGTTACTACTTGCTGGCACTGGCCGGTGGCTGGGCGGCTGTCTATCCCCAAGTCTTTGAAATGTTCCTCACAGAACAGACACAGTGTGGTTGGACAAGACCTTGGGATGTGGGAACTAGATGCGAAAGGGTCTGTG